TCATAAATCAAGAAAAATAGGGAAACAGAGAAATATAATCAGTGACAAGGAGAACTCACTAGAAGTGAACTAGGAAATACAACTGAGTCGAATTCATACAAAAATTAATAAATCTTTTAAAATAAATGGATTCATATGATTGTATAAAAGTTAAATTTGACAAGGAAACATAAAATCTCAAGAACTATTGAAATTAAAATTAAAATGCATATCCATTGGTAGAGTCACTCAATTATTGGTAAAATAGGAAAATGAGTTCAGTTCATATGTTTTTTAAAATAAGTAATACATCGAACGAAATCAATTCAAGTCAACTTTAATCAAATATAATCCATATCACAGAAGAACAATTATAAAAATTAAATCAATGTACAAACTTATCCTTGTCTATCACCTAGGAAGAAAGTATCATCACAAATAGAAATAACCTTTTCTATCACCTAGGACTTAACCTTATTGCTTGACTATCACTCAAATGATAGTTTAAGTGAAAATAATAATAAAATGCAATGAAAATAGAAATAAAATTTAGAAACTCCTATGATCACTTTTCATGTCTGACTATCATTTGGAGAGAGATTGGCCAAAAAGTGCTTCGTAGTTCCTCAATTCACCTACAATGTCCATCTCAAAACCTTGCTCCATTTTTCTTGAAGCTTTCTTCAGATCATGATCCCCTGAAATCTCAACACTATCCACCAAAAAAAGGAAATTTCGTATGTTCCTTTCACCATCCAAAATTTAGTATGCTGATTGATGTATACATGTATGACATGGGTTAAAATGTTGACCCATATCTTTCTTCATTTCCTTATACTGACATAACTCATAAATCTCTTGTTATATCTTTTTACTAATGTGGCCATGAATATCTATACTTTTACCATTATTTTTATGATTTCTGAGTTACTAAATAAATCATTTCATAAGTTTTTGAAAAACCAAAGAAAAAGAAATTGTCAAAATTTTTACTTCACTATCAATTTTTTTATCAATTCCAATATTTCTCAAGGATATAAACATTAGATTATCATGTTAGTATATATATTAAAAATCATAAATATATTCATCATTCGTAGATGTTAGTATAAATGTTAGATAGTTGTACTTTATGTATTACATGAAAATAAAGTATTATCACTTATCAATTGAATCTTCCACCCATTTCAAGTATCCACTAGGTGCTCCATGTATCACAACTTAGAAAGGTAGATGGTTCAACCTCCCTAGGCTCCATTGGCCTACTAAGGCTGAACAAAGATTGTACTTGGACTGTGCAACCATCTAAAATCCTAATTGTCCAATATGGGTTGCCTGAGCCTAAAGTGCTTATCAAATGATAGGAGCTACCCAACTTAATTCATAGGGGGATCATGTGGGCATCCACCCAAACCATATGCCAAGAATTCCTTAAATTAAACCTAGAAGACAAGGTTTAATTTATAGGGGAGACTTTTGTTGAGACGCTCACCTCAACCTAGAAGACTTTCATTCCCTCGTCCATTCAACCATCTCTTTCTCACTGCCATCTTCAGAGCTCCATCACATCTTTGAGGAATTTGAGAAGAACTCCCGTGTGGACTCTAGCTAGGTGGGATTGAGAAATTTGAGCATTGATGACCCCCTTTAATCTCTTCCATGGCTGAATATCTTCGTTTACTAAAAAACTGCGGGTGGGGTTGTCTTGCTGGGCTCACTGTTGTTGCTTCGCCCCTATTCAGGAGAGAATGAGGAAAAAGGATGAGAAGATGTAGAGCTTCATCCTTGCGAAGACACTAAAATACCTCTATCTCTTGTTCTCTCTGCCCACGGCGATCCCCTTGGATGAGTGGATCTACAGTACAGAAGCCCATCCCATAAGAAAAATACTGAGAGGCAATGGAATAGTCTCTGATTGAGTTTTTTGAGGAAAGGGGGCCTAAAATGCTGCCCCCTCTTGATTCCTTCTCTCACCATTATTGCCTCTCAAAATAAATCTGGTTTTGCTTCCTAGCCGAGTGTTAAATCTGTCCTTTATTTCCTCAATACTAGCTCTCTCTCACCATCTCTCGCCCTTGTTCTCTGTCTTCTCCTCAATTCTATGAGGCCTGCGAAGAGTTAAAGAGATCTATTTGACCACAGCTTTCTCAGTTTCCTCTAAATGCATAGACACCTACTTGCCTTCTTCACCTTATTGATGACAGCTTACTAAGAGATTACGATGAAGATGAAAATGAGAACGTAATATAAGTCAAATAAATGATGCAGAAATCACAAACACTATCAGAAATAGAAGGAGAAATCCGAATCTAGCTCAACATAATCTACTATTAGAGAAGTGGGGTTAGGACTAGGTAGTTTAGGCAAACCGCTAGACGTATGGTATTCATAATTAACAGTGTAGATTGTTTTATCACCCGGATGAATCATGCAATGTATGAAAATAATTGTTATCCTATAAGATCACTCATGACGATAATGACAAGAAAAATATACTAAAAGAGCAGGGAATACCAAGTGTAAGAAACGAGAGAACTAATTATGAAAGGAAGTCACCAAAGGGACCATGGTCAGAGATGGTCGATCATTGACTGTTGACTGAGTGGTGCCGTTGACTGTTGACCAAGCGGAATCGTTGGCTGTTGACTGTGCAGAAGCCATTGGGCGCTGGACAAACGGAGGTCTGGTTGCTGGTCGACTACAGTTTGAACCCGTCGGATCTGCATAACAGGTACGGACCCAATCCAGAAACGAGCCGGTGGATGGGGAAGGAAATAACCCTGGTAATGGGCCTGGGGAAGGGCGGCCCAACAATGGCTCTCCGGCTTTTAAGCCCGAACTGCTCCGAGAGCGCCGAACCGGCGGTTGACTCCGAAAACCGGAGCGTTGGGGAGGGGAAAGGGCGGACGATAGAGGAGGAGAGAGGGGATGATGGCGGCAGACAGTGGCGGTGATGCCGGCGAAGGGCGACGGAAACGGTGGAATGGCAGCGCCGGAAGGAGACGGCGGAAACGGCAGTGGCGGAAGGCGGAATACGGCGCCGGGAGGAGAAGGCGTTGACGGAGGAAGAGGGCGACGGTGGAGGCGACTGGGAAGTGGAGAAGCGGCAACGCGGGGGAGCCAGCGGTGATGGAGGGAGTAGGAAACGGGGGAAGGAGAAGGATGAGAGGCGGCGATGGAAGGAGAAGGCGACGGCGGAGGCTAGCGGATGGTTGCACGGGGGCGGCAGAGGGGGAGGTCGACAGTGGGCGGCGGAAGGGTGACGGTGATGACGACGGCGGTGGCGGACGGAAGAAGGATCGGTGGCTGTGGAGGGAGATGGCGACGGAGATAACACTCCAACCGGGAGCATGTGGTCCTCACGACCAACCCTACCGTGGCGACGGGGTCTTCACGACCAGCAGCAGTCGACAGAGCCTCGATGATGGTAAGTCTGATTCGAAAAATTCTGGTATCCTCTAGGACGGAGAGAGGGGCGTTATATAGGCCTTTCATAGAAAAAATGAAAAAGAGCAAGTAAAATAAAGAAAGCCTACTAATTAGGCCCACTAAGATAGCCCACTAAGGCTGAATTGGTTCCTCGTCCTGCATCAGATTAGTTCTTTCTGCCCTCCTTTCTCTCTCTTGAGAGGTCAGTTAAAGAGAATTACTTTCGTAATCAGATCACAACTCTCTCTCTCTCTCTCTCTCTTTCCCCCGCTTTCTTCCTTTCCCTCCAGTCTGGTCAAGACCTAGAGACAGGCAAGAGAGCGATAGAGAGAAAATGGGCAGAGAGGATGAACGTAGATCTGGCAGCGAACGACCACGAAATGGTCGCGACGACCTCGGCATTCCATGGAGGTGAGGAAGATGACGAAGCAGATGGGAGTGCAAGAAGTACCGATGACGACGGTGGAGCCGACGACGGCGACGGCGAAGATTCCGTCTCCTTCAGAGTGGGGCAGTTCCCGCTGTCGAGGCCCCCCCGTCGCCGCCGAAGGGCTTCCTCTCGCTACTGAGAAGAAACAAACCAGAGCAGTCGTTACCCCGCCCGGACCAGCGTGAATCCTTCAGAGAGTAGGCCCCGCTGATCTCCTCGCGAGGAGAAGGAGAAGAAAAGAAAAAACCAGACGTCGTTATTGTGGTCGTCAGGTCTTACGGGGAAGTGTATGCAAGTCAAACGTTCCACCCGATGCTCGTCAAACTAAGCCAATTGCCCGGAAGCTAGTCTCCTCCCCGGAAACGGCCCCCGATGACGAGAGTAGCTAGGCTGAGGGGCCCAAAGGATGTCAAATGGGATCGCTAGTCATGTATCACTTCGTCGTGGACGCGAGCTCAAGTAGTATGACCAAGCTGCCCAACGAGCACAGATTTCAATCCTCAGGGAGTCCCAAGGGATGGAAGAAGACCCGGTCGTCCAACGACTACAGACTTTTGAACACTGAGTAAAAGGTTTTCGGCAGTTCCATGTTCATCTTCTCACAAGCTTTCTCTCTCTTCACAGACTGTTGGGTGGTTTCGGAACAAACGTGTGAACAGTGGAAGGAGCGGCGACCAAGTTCTCAAAGATGGCAGTAAGCACGGGCATAATTCACTCTCATGTGGTTTAGAATTCTACGGTTTTTTTCCTTTCGCTGGGTGTTAGATCGTTTTATCCTGCTCATTGGCTAAAAATGGCTACATCATTTCATGTAATATAGTTCGGCCACAGGGGATCGCTAGGGTTTCAGTTGAAGGGTATCGATTATAATAGACTCCTCCTGTGTAAATATCGATAGGAACAAATAGAAAGATGACGGAACGCAAGCAAGAAAGACCAGCCAAAAAGACAAGCTGGGGAGGAAACTAGTGTGCAACCTCGCATTGTTCCTCTACCGGAGATATTTTATGGTCGGAAGCAAGAATATGGCGTATGCCGTCGCAGTCAGATATGACCCTATTGTTCGTTGGATGCATATGCATGACTGTCCTGATTAGAAGATTACTGTGCCCTCTAAAGATCGGAGATCTGAACATCTGAGATCCGAGGTGCTATTTCCAGCATGCGGAAATCCTCGACGATCCTCCCCTACTGCTTAGTAGTCTCTCTCTTCGTCCTCGTATCATCCTCGAGCGGTACAGACACAATTCAGCAGTTGCAGAACATCAGCGATGGCCAGACTCTCGTCTCCGCCGGCGGGATCTTCGTGCTGGGGTTCTTCTCTCCGGGGGATTCCGGTAAGAGGTATCTGGGCATATGGTTCGCCGTTTCTAATACAACAATCGTATGGGTCGCAAACAGGGATAAGCCTCTTAACGACTCCTCCGGTATCCTGCGCATCGACACCAGCGGCAATCTCGTCCTCACCGGGAACCCTCCCAACACAATCTTCTGGTCTACGGGTCAAACCAGCTCGGTCGGCGCCACCGCACGGCTGCTGGACTCCGGCAATTTCGTGCTCAGAGAAGGGAGTAGTCCTACGGCCGGAGACTTTCTCTGGCAAAGCTTCGACCACCCAACGGATACCATGCTTGCGGGGATGAAGATCGGGCCGGACTACAGGACCGAGCGTGATCGGAACCTGACGGCGTGGAGGAACGCGACCGATCCCTCGCCGGGGCGATTCACCTACAAGTTGGATCCTCGCGGGATGGGTCAGCCCTTCGTGCTGGATAACACGAGGGTGATTTTCCGCAGTGGCCCCTGGAATGGGATCCAGTTCAGCGGCACGCCGTCGATGAAGACCTACCCGAGGTTCAGGTCCACCGTCGTCCAGAATCAAGATGAGGCGTACTACCAGTTCATGGTAACCCAGCCGGCGACCCTCACGAGACTGATGATTGATAATTCCGGAAAGTTGACGCGCTCTCTGTGGGATGGTGAGAAGTTGGACTGGCTGGAGCTGTGGAGGTCGGATAGAGACCGGTGCGGGGAATACGCCTACTGCGGCCCCAACGGGGTCTGCAACAGCGATGCTTCTCTCGCATGCAACTGCCTCCCGGGATTCCGGGCCAGGAACCAAGAGCAGTGGGACTTTCAGAACTGGAGTGGAGGCTGCGTGAGGAATACGAGTCTGAACTGCACCGACGGCGACGGGTTTCGGCTGGAGAGGGGGATGAAATTGCCGGACACGGTGAACTCCACCGTCCACGTGGAAATGAATCTCGATAAATGTAGGGAATCATGTTGGAGGAATTGCTCCTGCGTGGCATACGCGAGCGCGAACACCAGCGGAGGAGAAAGTGGTTGCATAACCTGGATTGGGGATCTGATTGATATGAGAACTTTTGGGGAAGTTGAAGATGGGCAAAACATTTACATACGACTTGCGAAGGCTGATCTCGGTACGTTCTACCATCTCACTCACCTGAGCGTTTACTCGAGTAAAATCACGTCTGACTGGTCTGAACCAGCGCCTCAAGGATGCTCCGATGTTCATATTTTTGGGGTCCCTCCCTCCAAAACAAGAATCACAAGTCGTATCTGGGTACGCTGATCTTCGGGGACGGAAATGGCTTATGCCTTTCCTGCGAGCAGCTCCCCGACCCGTTTTACCTACGGGTATTCGCTCCAAAACCAGAATCACAAGTCGTATCTGGGTACGCTGATCTTCGGGGACGGAAATGGCTTATGCCTTTCCTGCGAGCAGCTCCTCGACCCGTTTTACCTACGGGTATTCGCTCCAGTGCTATTTGATACTTTAGAGAACAAGATTTGGGTTTCTGCTAGAGCGGAAAGCATAAAACTGGAGAATACCCTCTCTTGTTCTAATATTTCGGTGGGAATTTGCGGTTTGAAAGGAATTCACTATAGGAAACTGTTTTCGATTCCACTGAGGAACTTTTATTTTCCGGAGTTGATTAGTCGTACCGAATTATTTCCAGGAAAGGAGATCCATTTTGACTAAAGGTTTCTCAGAAGTCAATATGGCTCGCCGGATGAACTGTTCATTAATGTTTTTTACTTTTTTTGAGGGGGGTTTTGGGGGGGGGTGGGGAGTAGGAACTGGCCATTGCGGCCACAGCTGGGCTTTAATCCAGGGCAAATGGTTTGGGAGGGAGGCCTCCCAAACCCATTGCTCGCAAGTGACCCCCCCCCCCCCCGATCGACTACGTCCCTTAGCAGCAGGAAGCGCCGAAAGCCCTTCCCCTGTGGCGGAGGTCCAACTCGCGGTGCCATTCCCGTAAACGATGGCGGAGGGAGGGGGGATAAAGTCCTTTTCGCCGGCAAAGATGATTTCCCCGTGAGCATCCACCCAAATTGATAATGTTCTCCGAGATTTGTTCAATATCTAATTCGAAATTGTTGAGAAACTTGCGTGATAGCCAAAATTTGTTTAATATTTTTGCCATTGCTTCTGGGTTTAGGAATGGTAGATAGCAAAATCAAGGTATGGCAACGACCACCCCCAGTTGACAACTATGCACCTTCCTTCATTCTCTTTTGAGATAATCGAATAAGCTCGGCTTTCTGCCAAGCAGAAAAGCCGAGCTTCATTCGCGTTGAATCTTCCTTCAGACTTGTCTTCTTAGAGGGGAGTTCTCAGCTCATCTACTTCACGTTTTCTGTCCAGCAGCCTACAGAATGGCTGTGGAACATAATTAACTAGTGATCCCATGGGTACCCTTCATTTACAAGGCCGTGGAACACCACAGCAGCTTACAGAGTGGCTGTAAATCCGCATTCAGATGTTTATTTAGCATCAAATTATTTCTCATGCAGGAGAGATTCTTGGGAAACCATCCAAGAAGAAACACGAGACAATCATCGCCATCACGGTGGGTTTAGCTTTGGTGTTGCTCTTTTTGGTACTTTGGGGATATTGCAGCTGGAGGAAGAGAAATCAGAACGCAGAAGCCATAATCGAAGACGGTAAGATGAAAAGACAATTTCACAAAGGATTTATATTTGATTTTCCTCATTTACAACTTTATCACTCAAATGAACCGGAAAACACTTTTAGATGTGGAAATAGTAATAGCACTGGAAATCACTTTTACCGTCTAGAAAAGCATTCACGCTCATGCAATTGCTATTTAATCTTTGCTTCAATGGATCTATGTCAGGTTCAAGGCATCAAACCGTCAACAACGGTCTTACTGATGAGAACAACGATCTGCCGCTGTTTGATTTGGGTACTATAGCATTGGCCACAAACAAATTCGCAGATAGTCATAAGATCGGGAAAGGAGGGTTTGGTTGTGTCTACAAGGTGAGCTTTTCTTTTTATTACGTCTGCAAGTAAAACGTGTTTGACTTAATGGAGACGTAGTACTAAATTCTCAACCCTTCTGCCCAAATCTTCAGGGACAGTTTGCGGATGGGCAGGAAGTGGCTGTAAAGCGGCTCTCTTTGAAATATGGAGAAGGGATTGAAGAGTTCAAGACCGAGGTTAGGCTGATTGCCAAACTCCAGCACAGAAACCTTGTCCGGCTTCTTGGATGCTGCATTGGAGGAGGAGAAAGACTGTTGGTGTACGAGTACATGCCCAACAGTAGCTTGGATGCCTTCATATTCGGTAGGGTCCTTGACTTTTTGTTTTGATTGCCATCATAGGATTAGAATTTTCAAGATTGTGCCAATGCTTGCAAAGAATGGTGCTAACGACGTTGTCCACCCACCCCTGCGCTGAATTGATGGTCGTGATAAACTTATAGGGTTATACCAGTAGCGCTAAAAGGAATTGCTTCTTCATTCATGTCGACCCAAGATAGAACCTTTATTTACATGCAGGTGATGTCCAGAAGCGTCGGTTATTGGACTGGGAAAAGCGCTTGGACATAATCTTGGGGATAGCGCGTGGGCTTCTCTACCTACACCAGGATTCACGGCTCAGAGTCATCCACAGGGATCTCAAGGCAGCCAACATACTCCTAGACGAGGCTATGAATCCCAAGATCTCGGACTTTGGCACTGCCAGGATCTTTGAAAGGAACCAAATGGAGGACAACACTGTCAAAATAGTCGGCACTATGTACGCCCTCTCTCTTGGGCTAGTTATCCATTCTGCTTTGATCTCTTGTCAAACAGTATCAATATTATTTTCGTTTCACGAACGGTGCAGCGGATACATGTCCCCAGAGTACATAATGAGTGGGAAATTCTCGGAGAAGTCTGACATCTTCAGCTTTGGAGTTCTGGTGTTGGAGATCATAAGTGGAAGGAAGAACCAGTGGGTCTCTCAGAAGAACTTCCACATGAAGCTTCTAGCCAATGTAAGTGCAGTGCAGTCATCGTTGGTTACTAAATCCCCAACAGTACACAACGCTTACTCTTATGGGAAACTTCATTTCAGGCTTGGAGACTCTGCACAGAAAACCAAAGTGATCGGCTCCTGGATGACATGCTAGGGCTTCCAAGTCAGTTCTCCGATGTCCTGAGGTGCATACAGGTTGGGCTGCTGTGTGTGCAGGAGTCTCCAGACGACAGGCCGACAATACAAGAGGTGGTGCTCATGCTGGCCAACAGGACCTCTGTGCTGCCACAGCCAGAGAAGCCCGGGTTCTTTAAACCCACCACCATAGTGGCAGCAGCACAGTGGTTCGCCGACAGCTGTAGTTCATCGTCCTCTGTGAACGTGATTACTCTCACGAATGTTGAAGGCCGCTGAAATGTTCTTGGTTTATATCAAGATCATTCCACCGGGATGAAGTTTAAAAACCCTCAGTTTCTTCAATTAATAGTAACCAAGTTTACTGATTTCTATCACCAGTGAATGCATGATACTAGCTGCAGTAGATGTACGCACTTAGTTACAGCTTCCTGACTCATGTTCCACCCGCCGTCGGCCGATTATGCCGGCCCAATAATCTTCGGCATAGTGACGAAACCTAGCTGAGACTGAGTGGCGTATTGACCAGAATGAAAAATCGATACGAGGACGAAGAGAGAGACTACTAAGCAGTAGGGGAGGATCGTCGAGGATTTCCGCATGCTGGAAATAGCACCTCGGATCTCAGATGTTCAGATCTCCGATCTTTAGAGGGCACAGTAATCTTCTAATCAGGACAGTCATGCATATGCATCCAACGAACAATAGGGTCATATCTGACTGCGACGGCATACGCCATATTCTTGCTTCCGACCATAAAATATCTCCGGTAGAGGAACAATGCGAGGTTGCACACTAGTTTCCTCCCCAGCTTGTCTTTTTGGCTGGTCTTTCTTGCTTGCGTTCCGTCATCTTTCTATTTGTTCCTATCGATATTTACACAGGAGGAGTCTATTATAATCGATACCCTTCAACTGAAACCCTAGCGATCCCCTGTGGCCGAACTATATTACATGAAATGATGTAGCCATTTTTAGCCAATGAGCAGGATAAAACGATCTAACACCCAGCGAAAGGAAAAAAACCGTAGAATTCTAAACCACATGAGAGTGAATTATGCCCGTGCTTACTGCCATCTTTGAGAACTTGGTCGCCGCTCCTTCCACTGTTCACACGTTTGTTCCGAAACCACCCAACAGTCTGTGAAGAGAGAGAAAGCTTGTGAGAAGATGAACATGGAACTGCCGAAAACCTTTTACTCAGTGTTCAAAAGTCTGTAGTCGTTGGACGACCGGGTCTTCTTCCATCCCTTGGGACTCCCTGAGGATTGAAATCTGTGCTCGTTGGGCAGCTTGGTCATACTACTTGAGCTCGCGTCCACGACGAAGTGATACATGACTAGCGATCCCATTTGACATCCTTTGGGCCCCTCAGCCTAGCTACTCTCGTCATCGGGGGCCGTTTCCGGGGAGGAGACTAGCTTCCGGGCAATTGGCTTAGTTTGACGAGCATCGGGTGGAACGTTTGACTTGCATACACTTCCCCGTAAGACCTGACGACCACAATAACGACGTCTGGTTTTTTCTTTTCTTCTCCTTCTCCTCGCGAGGAGATCAGCGGGGCCTACTCTCTGAAGGATTCACGCTGGTCCGGGCGGGGTAACGACTGCTCTGGTTTGTTTCTTCTCAGTAGCGAGAGGAAGCCCTTCGGCGGCGACGGGGGGGCCTCGACAGCGGGAACTGCCCCACTCTGAAGGAGACGGAATCTTCGCCGTCGCCGTCGTCGGCTCCACCGTCGTCATCGGTACTTCTTGCACTCCCATCTGCTTCGTCATCTTCCTCACCTCCATGGAATGCCGAGGTCGTCGCGACCATTTCGTGGTCGTTCGCTGCCAGATCTACGTTCATCCTCTCTGCCCATTTTCTCTCTATCGCTCTCTTGCCTGTCTCTAGGTCTTGACCAGACTGGAGGGAAAGGAAGAAAGCGGGGGAAAGAGAGAGAGAGAGAGAGAGAGTTGTGATCTGATTACGAAAGTAATTCTCTTTAACTGACCTCTCAAGAGAGAGAAAGGAGGGCAGAAAGAACTAATCTGATGCAGGACGAGGAACCAATTCAGCCTTAGTGGGCTATCTTAGTGGGCCTAATTAGTAGGCTTTCTTTATTTTACTTGCTCTTTTTCATTTTTTCTATGAAAGGCCTATATAACGCCCCTCTCTCCGTCCTAGAGGATACCAGAATTTTTCGAATCAGACTTACCATCATCGAGGCTCTGTCGACTGCTGCTGGTCGTGAAGACCCCGTCGCCACGGTAGGGTTGGTCGTGAGGACCACATGCTCCCGGTTGGAGTGTTATCTCCGTCGCCATCTCCCTCCACAGCCACCGATCCTTCTTCCGTCCGCCACCGCCGTCGTCATCACCGTCACCCTTCCGCCGCCCACTGTCGACCTCCCCCTCTGCCGCCCCCGTGCAACCATCCGCTAGCCTCCGCCGTCGCCTTCTCCTTCCATCGCCGCCTCTCATCCTTCTCCTTCCCCCGTTTCCTACTCCCTCCATCACCGCTGGCTCCCCCGCGTTGCCGCTTCTCCACTTCCCAGTCGCCTCCACCGTCGCCCTCTTCCTCCGTCAACGCCTTCTCCTCCCGGCGCCGTATTCCGCCTTCCGCCACTGCCGTTTCCGCCGTCTCCTTCCGGCGCTGCCATTCCACCGTTTCCGTCGCCCTTCGCCGGCATCACCGCCACTGTCTGCCGCCATCATCCCCTCTCTCCTCCTCTATCGTCCGCCCTTTCCCCTCCCCAACGCTCCGGTTTTCGGAGTCAACCGCCGGTTCGGCGCTCTCGGAGCAGTTCGGGCTTAAAAGCCGGAGAGCCATTGTTGGGCCGCCCTTCCCCAGGCCCATTACCAGGGTTATTTCCTTCCCCATCCACCGGCTCGTTTCTGGATTGGGTCCGTACCTGTTATGCAGATCCGACGGGTTCAAACTGTAGTCGACCAGCAACCAGACCTCCGTTTGTCCAGCGCCCAATGGCTTCTGCACAGTCAACAGCCAACGATTCCGCTTGGTCAACAGTCAACGGCACCACTCAGTCAACAGTCAATGATCGACCATCTCTGACCATGGTCCCTTTGGTGACTTCCTTTCATAATTAGTTCTCTCGTTTCTTACACTTGGTATTCCCTGCTCTTTTAGTATATTTTTCTTGTCATTATCGTCATGAGTGATCTTATAGGATAACAATTATTTTCATACATTGCATGATTCATCCGGGTGATAAAACAATCTACACTGTTAATTATGAATACCATACGTCTAGCGGTTTGCCTAAACTACCTAGTCCTAACCCCACTTCTCTAATAGTAGATTATGTTGAGCTAGATTCGGATTTCTCCTTCTATTTCTGATAGTGTTTGTGATTTCTGCATCATTTATTTGACTTATATTACGTTCTCATTTTCATCTTCATCGTAATCTCTTAGTAAGCTGTCATCAATAAGGTGAAGAAGGCAAGTAGGTGTCTATGCATTTAGAGGAAACTGAGAAAGCTGTGGTCAAATAGATCTCTTTAACTCTTCGCAGGCCTCATAGAATTGAGGAGAAGACAGAGAACAAGGGCGAGAGATGGTGAGAGAGAGCTAGTATTGAGGAAATAAAGGACAGATTTAACACTCGGCTAGGAAGCAAAACCAGATTTATTTTGAGAGGCAATAATGGTGAGAGAAGGAATCAAGAGGGGGCAGCATTTTAGGCCCCCTTTCCTCAAAAAACTCAATCAGAGACTATTCCATTGCCTCTCAGTATTTTTCTTATGGGATGGGCTTCTGTACTGTAGATCCACTCATCCAAGGGGATCGCCGTGGGCAGAGAGAACAAGAGATAGAGGTATTTTAGTGTCTTCGCAAGGATGAAGCTCTACATCTTCTCATCCTTTTTCCTCATTCTCTCCTGAATAGGGGCGAAGCAACAACAGTGAGCCCAGCAAGACAACCCCACCCGCAGTTTTTTAGTAAACGAAGATATTCAGCCATGGAAGAGATTAAAGGGGGTCATCAATGCTCAAATTTCTCAATCCCACCTAGCTAGAGTCCACACGGGAGTTCTTCTCAAATTCCTCAAAGATGTGATGGAGCTCTGAAGATGGCAGTGAGAAAGAGATGGTTGAATGGACGAGGGAATGAAAGTCTTCTAGGTTGAGGTGAGCGTCTCAACAAAAGTCTCCCCTATAAATTAAACCTTGTCTTCTAGGTTTAATTTAAGGAATTCTTGGCATATGGTTTGGGTGGATGCCCACATGATCCCCCTATGAATTAAGTTGGGTAGCTCCTATCATTTGATAAGCACTTTAGGCTCAGGCAACCCATATTGGACAATTAGGATTTTAGATGGTTGCACAGTCCAAGTACAATCTTTGTTCAGCCTTAGTAGGCCAATGGAGCCTAGGGAGGTTGAACCATCTACCTTTCTAAGTTGTGATACATGGAGCACCTAGTGGATACTTGAAATGGGTGGAAGATTCAATTGATAAGTGATAATACTTTATTTTCATGTAATACATAAAGTACAACTATCTAACATTTATACTAACATCTACGAATGATGAATATATTTATGATTTTTAATATATATACTAACATGATAATCTAATGTTTATATCCTTGAGAAATATTGGAATTGATAAAAAAATTGATAGTGAAGTAAAAATTTTGACAATTTCTTTTTCTTTGGTTTTTCAAAAACTTATGAAATGATTTATTTAGTAACTCAGAAATCATAAAAATAATGGTAAAAGTATAGATATTCATGGCCACATTAGTAAAAAGATATAACAAGAGATTTATGAGTTATGTCAGTATAAGGAAATGAAGAAAGATATGGGTCAACATTTTAACCCATGTCATACATGTATACATCAATCAGCATACTAAATTTTGGATGGTGAAAGGAACATACGAAATTTCCTTTTTTTGGTGGATAGTGTTGAGATTTCAGGGGATCATGATCTGAAGAAAGCTTCAAGAAAAATGGAGCAAGGTTTTGAGATGGACATTGTAGGTGAATTGAGGAACTACGAAGCACTTTTTGGCCAATCTCTCTCCAAATGATAGTCAGACATGAAAAGTGATCATAGGAGTTTCTAAATTTTATTTCTATTTTCATTGCATTTTATTATTATTTTCACTTAAACTATCATTTGAGTGATAGTCAAGCAATAAGGTTAAGTCCTAGGTGATAGAAAAGGTTATTTCTATTTGTGATGATACTTTCTTCCTAGGTGATAGACAAGGATAAGTTTGTACATTGATTTATTTTTTTCTAATTGTTCTTCTGTGATATGGATTATCTTTGATTAAAGTTGACTTGAATCGATTTCGTTTGATGTATTACTTATTTTAAAAAACATATGAACTGAACTCATTTTCCTATTTTACCAATAATGGAGTGACTCTACCAATGGATATGCATTTTAATTTTAATTTCAATAGTTTGTGAGATTTTATGTTTCCTTGTCAAATTTAACTTTTATACAATCATATGAATCCATTTATTTTAAAATATTTATTACTTTTTATGTGAATTCGGCTCAGTTGTATTTCCTAGTTCACTTCTAGTGAGTTCTCCTTGTCACTGATTATAATATTTCTCTCTTTCCCCATTTTTCTTTATTTATGCTTTAGTTTTCATCCTTTTATTTTTCTGTTATTTTAAATTTTTTTCTACCTTTTTTGTTGAAATTGTTTAAAGATCTAGAGTCATCAATCAATTTTAAATGTGGGAATATATAAAAGTAGGAAAATTCTAGGCTTAAAACTTTGTGACACCATCATCAAACATTGAAGGAGATAAAAATGTAGAGAAAAATATTTTTTATTTAATTTTTTTATTACATGGAACGAACAAGAAATTTATATTGAGATCAACCATCCTCTATGTGGATGACTTGAATTGAAGAAAAGATAATTTTAACAATTTTTTAAATTTTGGTTTATAAATATTTAAGATTTGATCGATTTTTCAATCTGGTCGAGAAGCCACCAAGTCTGGGCTAGGTTTCGTCACTACGTCCAACAACATTACCGGGCCGGAATCACCGGCCGACGGCGGCACAATCACCTGCCACTTAGGCTAATGGTGAGGGCATACGCCTACTGCGGCTATAATTATGCATTCACTGGATAGAAATCAGTAAACATGGTTACTATTAAATGCAGATGAAAGAGCACACAAGTACTAAACTGACCATTGTTATGAGGGTCGTCATTCTATCAGCTTTTAAACCAAGAACCTTTCAGCGGCCTTCAACATTCGTGAGAGTAATCACGTTGGCAGAGGACAATGAATTATAGCCGTCTGAGAACCACTGGGCTGCTGCCGCCAGGCTGGTGGGTTTAAAGAACCCGGGCTTCTCGGCCTGTGGCAGCACTGAGGTCCTGTTGGCCAGCATGAGAACCACCTCTTGCATGGTTGGCCTGTCGTCTGGAGACTCCTGCACACACAGTAGCCCAACCTTCATATACCTCAGGACATCGGAGAACTTAGTTGGAGGCCTCAGTGTGTCGTCCAGGAGCTTATCACATTGGTTGTCTCTGCACAGTCTCCAAGCCTGATATGAAGGTTTCCCATAAGAGTAAGCATTGCATGCATCTTTGGGCCATTAGTAGCCAATGATGATTGCGGTAAATGCAATGGTATTCTGTAGATTGGTCTTGCAGTGCTGCACTTACGTTAGCAAGAAGCTGCATGTGGGTGTTCTTCTGTGAGACCCACTGGTTCTTCCTTCCACTTATGATCTCCAACACCAAAACTCCAAAGCTGAAGATGTCAGACTTCTCCGAAAAATTCCCATTGATGATGTACTCTGGGGACATGTATCCGCTGCACCGTTCGTGAAACGAAAATAATACTGTCACTGTTCGTCATGAGATCAAACCAAAATGAATAACTAGCTCAAGAGAGAGGACGTACATGGTGCCGACTATTTTGATTGTGTTGTCCTCCATTTGGTTCCTTCCAAAGATCCTGGCAGTGCCAAAGTCCGAGATCTTGGGGTTCATAGCCTCGTCTAGGAGTATGTTGGCTGCCTTGAGATCCCTGTGGATGACTCTGAGCCGTGAATCCTGGTGGAGGTAGAGAAGCCCACGGGCTACCCCCAAGATTATGTCCAAGCGCTTTTCCCAGTCCAATAACCGACGCTTCTGGACATCACCTGCATGTAAATGAAGGTTCTTTTCTGGGTCAACAACCAATGGCTTTTAACGCTACTGGCGGATCCCTATAAGTTACTTGCGACCATCATCAGTATCATTGTTCGCAAGCATTGGGACAATATTGAAAATTCTAATCCCTATGATTGCAATCAAAACAAAAAGTCAAGGATCCTACCGAATATGAAGACATCCAAGCTACTATTGGGCATGTACTCGTAGACCAACAGTCGTTCTCCTCCTTCAATGCAGCATCCAAGAAGCCGGACAAGGCTTCTGTGTTGGAGTTTGGCAATCAGCCTAACCTCAGTCGTGAACTCTTCAATCCCTTCTTCAGAATGTGAGGAGAGTCGCTTTACAGCCACTTCTCGCCCGTCCAGAAATTTTCCCTGATAATTTGCACAGAAGGCTTGCGAAATTAGCACTACGTCTCCAATAAGTCATCAAGGAGTAAGACACCTCCAGGAGGAGGATATAAAAAACCTGACGTATTGTTAGCTGATAAGGAACACGTTTTACTAGGAGACGCGATAGAAAGGAAATCTCACCTTGTAGACATAACCAAACCCTCCTTTCCCGATCTTATTTGCATCTGCGAATTTGTTTGTGGCCAATGCTATCGTATCCAAATCAAACAGGGGCAGATCGTTGTTTTCATCAGTAAGACCATTGTTGATGCTTTGAAACCTTGAACCTGACATAGATGCATGGACGCTAAGATTAAACAGCAGTTGCATGCGCCCGAATGTTTCACTAGATGATAAAAGTGATTCCTTAGTGCTATTAGTATTTTCCACATAAAAGTTTTCCAGTTCTACAGAGGACAATCAAATGGAAATCCTTTGTGAAAGTTCTTTTCATCTAACCATGTTCGATTATGGCTTCCGCCTTCTGATTCCTCTTTCTCCATATGCAATATCCCCAAAGTACCGAAGAAAGCAACACCAAAGCTGAAGCCACCGTGACGGCGATGATTGCCCAGTGTTTCTTCTTAGATGGATTCCCAAGAATCTCTTCTGCATGAGAGAGAATTTGATGTTAAGTAAAAATCTGGATGCTTCTGAATATTCAGGGAAAAGAAAATCACGACGAGGAAGTAAGCTGGATGTGCATTTGCAGCCATTCTGTAGGCTGCCGTGCTGTTCCACGGCCTTGTAAACAGGCCTATATTATCAGCAGGAGGAACCGATAGGATCACTAATTAATTATGTTTACCTAACGAAGGGCGGGACAGAAAAGGTGAAGTAGATCAGCTGAGAACTCCCCTCTAAGAACTCGCTCTAGGAGGACAGGTTTGAAGGAAGATTCAACGCGAATGAAGTTAAACAGTAAGGGCAGAGGACCCAGTTTATTTATTTATCTCAAAAGAGAATGAAGATGCAGAGTTGTCGACTGGAGGAAGTCGTTGCGATACCTTGATTTTGCTGTCTAACATTCCTGAACCCAGAAGCAGTGGCAAAAATATGAAACGAATTTCTCTTAACCACTTCGAATTAGATAGTGAAGAACACAGCTCGTAACATAGATGAGGGCCATCGTGTACGCTGCCGCTGCGAGGCTCAACGCTTGACGAAGAGGGCGTTCTCTCGGGGGCCGTCCGCCGCAGGGTTGCGGCTCACCGCTGCGGACCTCCATGGCGAATAGCCACCGCGAGAAAGCCTCCACAACCGTCCGCATTTTCGGACAGCCTCCTCGCGAAGAGTGGCCTTGCCGACTGGCAATGCGGCGCCCACTCAGCAGAGAGCCTCACAAGACGGCTCTCTCTGAAGTCTCCCAGGGGGAACGGCATCCGTGAAGGGTGGCCGTCGGTCGACCCGGGGGTACTGCCGAGAAATGAATGGGCTTCGGAGGAGGCATCCTTTCCAATCCATTTCCCATGGGCTAAAGCCCACCCCTGGCCACGATGGCCAGTCCCTTTCCCCTCTACCCCGCCCCCCCCTCCCGAAAAAAAACATTAATAAATAGTTAATGAGCCATACTGACTGCTACAAAATTACTAACAAAATATGGATCTCCTTTCCTGAAAAGAACTCCGTATGGATAATCTACTCCGGAAAATAATAGTTCCCATCGAATTCCTTTTAAAACGGGAAAATGCAACGGAAATATGAAAACAGGAGGTTAATTCGCAGTTTTATACCTCCTCTCGAACAGAAACCCTAATCTTGCTGCGGTTTCAGCAGAATATCAAATATCCCTGTAGCGAATAGCCGTAGGTTAAATGGGTCGGGAAGATACTAAATGGAAAGGCATAAGGCATTTGATCAGCCTACTCAGATACGACTTGTGATTCTGGTTTAGGAGGGAAGAACCCCAAAAGTATGAACATCGGAGCATCCTTGAGGCGCTGGTTCAGACCAGTCAGACGTGATTTTACTCGAGTAGACGCTCAGGTGAGTGAGATGGTAGAACGTACCGAGATCAGCCTTCGCAAGTCGTATGTAAATGTTTTGCCCATCTTCAACTTCCCCAAAAGTTCTGATATCAATCAGATCCCCAATCCAGGTTATGCAACCACTTTCTCCTCCGCTGATGTTCGCGCTCGCGTATGCCACGCAGGAGCAATTCTTCCGACATGTTTCCCTACATTCATCGAGATTCATGCCCATGTCGACGGTGGAGTTCACCGTGTCCGGCAACCTCATCCCCGTCTCCAGCCGAAACCCGTCGCCGTCGGTGCAGTTCAGACTCGTATTCCTCACGCAGCCTCCACTCCAGTTTCGAATATTCCACTCGTCTTGGTGCTTGACCCGGAATCCCCTAAGGCAGTTGCATGCGACAGAAGCATCGCTGTTGCAGACCCCGTTGGGGCCGCAGAGGGAGTAGTTGCTGCACCGGTCGAGGTCCGAACTCCATAGTTCCTGCCAGCCCGCCTTCTTACTATCCCACAGCAAGCGCCTCGCCACTCCGGAATGATCCGTCACCAGCCTAGCGAGGGTCGGCTCCTGGGTTATCCCGTACTGGTAGTACGTCTCCTCCAGATTATGTACCACGGTAAAGTTGAACATCGTGTAGGACTTCGTCGTCGGTGTGCCGCTGAACCGGAGCCCGTTCCAGGGGCCACTACGGTAGATCACCGTCGTGTTATCCAGCACAAAGGGCTGACCCATCCCGCGAGGATCCAGCTTGTAGGTGAATCGCCCCGGCGAGGGATCGGTCGCGTTCCTCCACGCCGTCAGGTTCCGATCACGCCCGGTCCTGTAGTCCGGCCCGATCTTCATCCCCGCAAGCATGGTATCCGTTGGGTGGTCGAAGCTTTGCCAGAGAAAGTCTCCGGCCGTAAGACTACTCCCTTCTCTGAGCACGAAATTGCCGGAGTCCAGCAGCTGTGCGGTGGCGCCGACCGAGCTGGTTTGTCCCGTAGACCAGAAGATTGTGTTGGGAGGGTTCCCGGTGAGGACGAGATTGCCGCTGGTGTCGATGCGCAGGATACCGGAGGAGCCGTTGAGAGGCTTATCTCTGTTCGCGACCCATACGACTGTTGTATTAGAAACGGCGAACCATATGCCCAGATACCTCTTACCGGAATCCCCCGGAGAGAAGAACCCCAGCACGAAGATCCCGCCGGCGGAGACGAGAGTCTGGCCATCGCTGATGTTCTGCAACTGCTGAATTGTGTCTGTACCGCTCGAGGACGATACGAGGACGAAGAGAGAGATTACTAAGCAGTAGGGGAAGATCGTCGAGGATTTCCCCATGCTGGAAATGGTACCTTGGATCTCAGATCTTTAAAGGGCACCACAATCTTCTGATCAGGAATGGATATGATGAGCAGTAGAGTCATATCTGAGCGCGACGGCCGTCGATAATATGTCGTTCTTGCTTCCGACAGTAAAATATCCGCGGGTAGATGAACAATGGAAGCTTGTGCTCACGTGTTTTGGTTGGTTTTTCTTGCTTGTGTTGCGTCTTACGACTTCTGGTATTCATCGCGAACTTTAACTGGGGACAACACATTGTATTTATGGTTCTGCAACAACCCCCACATGATGTACTTGTCAGGTTAAACGATTCGGTTGACCGGAGATACAACTCCGGTCGATGTTAAATATAAGGTCACGATCATACATGCCGAACAATCACGATAGCCTTTAATAAACGAAACTTGACAGGCAAGACACTGCGGTTAAAGGTCAACTGCCGCTGAAAGCGGTTTTTCTTTCCTCAGAGACTTGGAGAAGCTCTTAAATGTCAGGGCGGCAAATTAAATGTCGACTGCATAAACATTTTTAAATTTAAGACGTACAGTTCTTGAAGGCGCCATCTCTGACCAATTTATCTAGAGCTATGCTAACACCCGTCAGCCATGCTCCTTTTCAACTGTGATAGTAGGAGACACGCCGAAATATTAACAAAAGGGGATAGGACTTCGTAGGTGACGCCTAGTGTTTTTTTAATGAGCCCACTTGACACTGGTCTGAAGGTCAACGAAACCCCGAAATCATACCTCCCGCAAAGAAATGTGGCTCTTTTGACCGGCAGAGAATCAAAGCGCAGCGGACTTTAAAGATGAACGAAAACAGCCCCACAACCATCCCGTCGACAATGACCGTTGAGCGGTATTTCAGTTCCCACAAAGCGGAGGCCTTTCACCGACCTTATTCAAGGTTCGTTCCGTGAGTAATTTTCTGGACATTACTTGTCGTGTTTCTTTGTTCCAAAACTCTTTTACTACACAGGAGGAGTTATCCTAACAGTTACACTTCAATTGAAACCCAGTTTAAGGCGCTCCAGTGAGGCCGAAATATATCAGATGTCATGATATAGCCATTTTTAGCCAATGAACAAGATGAAACGAGGAATTAGCCAATGAGCAGACGGTTTGGCTGTTACATTATTCGCTGTAACACCATCTGATACCATGATTTTTACCTGGCAGAAGAAGGCATCAATGTGCTTACATATACCATATGGTTTAAGAGGGAGACCTGACATATCCAAACGGGTCCTCTTACCACTTTCAATCTCCAACTCTAAAACTGCTGGGCTGAACGCGTCATACTTCCCCGAGGAATTTGCGTCTGTGATGCTCTCCGGAGACCATTTCACCATTTGTCAAAGAGAATATGATCTTAAGACTATTCGGCAGGAGATTAACTGGAATGGATAGCGCGCCGTAGAGGCGTACATTGTGCCGGCTATTCTGTCCATGATCATATCCACCTGATCCTTCCCTGCGATCCTGGCAGCGCCAAAGTCCGATATTTTGTGGTTCATACCCACCCGTCAAGAAGGATCTCACCCGCTTCGAGGTTTCTGGGGATGATTCTGAACCCCGAATCTTGGAGATGGAGAAGCCCGGGATCGACCCCCAAGAGTACGTCCAAGTGAAATCGCTCATCCGCAGTAGGTATAAATGACGCTCAGCACTACTATCGACATCATCACGGAGACAGCCTGCTACACCTCATTTCACTACCTCTATTGTCCTCTTTGCGTCTAATGAGACACACCTTCAGATGTAAACAAGAAATATAAGATTTATATGCCTTATAATCCTAAACAGACTTAGCTGGCCCTTTAGCAAACACATCCAAGGTTTTGTTGAGCTGTGTACTGATAAATAGCATCTTCTCTTCTCCTCCAATGGAGCAACCCAGAAGTCAAACGAGGTTTTGGCGTTGAAGTTTGGCAATCAACATAACTTCGGTCTTCACGGCCAGTTTGTACCCGGCACGTAATTTTTGTCAGATAAACAAATTAGAAATAAATTACCTACACCATTAGGCCGAGGGTTCAGTAGAACACCAGGTAACTTTCACGACCAGAGATGGATCATCAAAACATCATCAAGAAAGATCAACCAAGAGGTTCATTTTGGTCTCTTCAAAGTGCTTTATTTGTGATAATAACCTCCTCTTGCTACATAGATCTAAAGATGAAGCTCTCTAAGATGCATCACACCTTTATCAATCTCAACTTCATTAAGTGATTGTTCAGTTAATCATTAACTCAAGAAGAGAAAATATATTTTTAATGATTTTTAAACAATCAGTTGATTATCTTTAAATTAATGATATTTGATGTGAATTGAATTCAGATTGATGTGATGAATTTATTGATGTTAAAATTATTTGGATAATGATCTGAGGTCTAATATTATATAGCTAAAACTATATTTCATTTTATTTTTTGACATGTACATGATTGTTAGATGATTTAGATATAAAGACAATTAAATATCTCTACATAGTAAATATGTTATGTTCTTATGAGGAGGTTGTATGTTTAAAATTTTTCTATATCAAATGACTTAGCTAATATATGCATATGAGTAAAAAATATAAAGAGTTTTAAACAAGGATTCAAGTAAAATAAATTTTACAGAGAATTACCAAAGTATTGATTTGATACTCATTTTACAAGATTACCAGTTTTATATATTCGGGCAAGAGAAAAATAGTCCAGAAGCATAACCTTTCATATTAAAGTAATTTTTATCTCAAAAAATACACAGCTGTTTGCATTCAAAGAAGAAATCAGGCTAAAAACTATTCGTAAATATTTGGAGTATCAAGAGAGTTATGAATTTTTAAATGTTTACATTTATTTTTTTCTGTATTTTTTAGGATTCATGTGCAGCCTATTAAGGCCCATTTTAGCTTTGACCATTTGACCTGACTAGGGCCAAAAGGGAGCAGTCCAGCTGACCTATAAATAAGGTAGTTCACCCAAAATTAGGGCAAGAGAGAAGAACACAACTTCTTAGTGATGATTTTTTCATATTATTTACTATTTCTACCTCAGTTTGTGGTGTGTGGACTGGTTGAGACACATGTTGTGTCGTCACGCAATCACATTGTCTATTGAGACACCTATAGTGTTCTTGAAACAAGGAGACCTAAGGACCTAAGAACTCTAGGCTTAGAGTTCTAGGTTGGTTGATTCTAAGTTCACAAAGCCTAAGAATATAAAAGGTTCTTGATTCTTTTAAAATCATGGGTGTATTCTAAGGCTGAATAATTGAATCAAGGTGGAGTCCTCAAAGGTGAATGTAGGTCAAAGGAGTTGACCCAACCACTGTAAAATTTAGAGTGAACTATCCTTTGTTGATTTATTTTATATTTATATATTAATATAGAGATATAAATAAGATATTAATAGATAAAAATAAAAGAAAATTTATTATACTTAATAAGAAGAAAAATTAAAAGTTAAGTCACCCCCCTCCTCTTTTGAATTATCCAACTATCTAGGAACCAATAGTGATAGCTTCTAGAGCATCATTTTCATCAAACTATCACTTTGACATGTGACAACCGCTAAAGACACTTGACCAGCATTGTTCTTCACCCTCTAGACTTCACATGAGAATTTAGAGAGTGCTCAAATTGTGCACATCTAAGGAGAGCCTTTGAGACCTTGAACACCCATTGGACACCTTCTAAACATATAGAATTCTAAGGATCGCTAATGTGACTTAGTCATTGTATAATAAATCATGTAAATTTAAAATTTATAAAATTAAAAAATACAAATTTTTAGATATTTAAAAGTATTTATGAATAAATATATCAATTATAATTCACTAAAACTTCCATAAATAGCGATAACTTTCTAAGTTGATCACAAGGATGTAATATAATATTTGATAATTATTCAAAATGTTTCTCAAATAATATTATTTTTTATAAATTTTATATTAGAAAATAAAAAGGAAATATATTTAAAATTCACGAAAAAGAGAAATAAGGGTGCGAATGTCAGAATGATGTCAACGCACAACGAATGCGAATCGGGTGGAAATAGAGTTCTGCTTGACAATTCTTACGTAAGCGATTACAAACGATTTAATTGAGCAAATTAAGATCTATAAAAGTTAAAAGAATCATAATTGAACGTAGTATATGTTGATAAATTTAAATCACACAAATTATCACTAAATAAAGTAAAAAGTAAGTTAAAAATAGGAAAATAGAATTTCGACATCATGGCGGTGATGCACTAGAATTATGAGTGTTCGGGAGGATTGTGATACAATGTCTATAGCCTCGAAAGCTCTATTTGAACAAAGACGACGTGGGCAATCTCTAGATCTCCTTGTAAAGTTTAGAGATCAATGAAATGAGTTGTCAAATTATCTCCAACGACTGTCACCTGACAGAGTAGAAAAATGGCAACTTTGCGGCTCTTCAGCAGGTGTCACCCAATGGAGAAGAACTAAATGAAGGTGGGGAGCATGTGAGGGAGCTTCATCCTCAAGTCCACGCAGCAAGAGGAGGCTCTTCATTGCATCCGGTACGCTCTCAAGAGGTGGTGACTCATCTCTCGGTAGATCGTCCTATTCTCGATGACGGCTTGTTTGTTGATCAATCAGAGATACTTTACTCGATAGATTTGCGATCTTTTTATCGTGAATCATTTAGTAATTTTAGTAACAATACTCTGCGAATTGTGTTGACAAGATTTTTGCCAATAATCTAGCGATTCTGGTTGCTTAATCCTTCACTGGTAATCTGTAAGAAAGTTATGATAAATTAGATAAAAAAATATGAGTTTTGGCTTTAGGAGGATTTGAACCTGTGCCGGTTGCCTGCCCTTTCTAGGGAAGGTGGCATGGGTTTAGTCCCACATCACTTGTGTGTCGAATTTTTGAGCAAATATATAGTAATATTAGAGATTGAACATAAGTCTTTTTCTTGCACGTGTATGACCACTCTTTACCCCACAACAAGCTGACTACTAGTGACGTAGAAGG